TTATGTGTTATTATTAATTCAAATATTTCAATTATATTGCCAACCTATGTTATTTATGTATAGAAATTGATTAAATATGTAGAAAATGTAATTGGAATGTACTGTTTGTTTATGTTGTTCTGGAAATAACTATCATTTACAATGCATGTAAAATACTTTTATTTGATGTGCAAGTATAGACTTCCCAGTGCCCATTGTATTATTGCACAATGCCATTTTAAAGTAGTATATTTTTGTTTACATTACATTACAAATACTAGAATAACTAGGTATTTAAATTATTGCTTTATTTTCAGTTAGTTGATCATTGTTTGAAATGTTCAAATTCTCTGAATATTTTCTTCTAAGTCATAGGTTGGTGCTTAGTTCCTGAAAAACTTATTATTGTTAGTGGCCTAGCTAGGTATTCAATATGACTAATCAAGAAAGCCTGTTAATTGATAAATAGATCAAAGTACTGTAGGTAGATATTTAATGATCGGTAATATCACTTAGTCCTTCTTCAATTGTTACTCAGATATAATACCTATGTCCATTTTTTCAGACCAAACTGAATATGTATGAAGTGACGATATTCTTAAAAGAGCTCCCATATAACCTCATACTCAATCATACTGTTACATATTGGTTTAGGAGGCATTTACAATGGTGCTCTTTTTACATATACCAAACATTACATCAATGTTACAAATTAAGTAAAAACGTGGGTTACTCACGTGAATATACTGAGAAAAGCTCTACTAGTTTCGAACCACAGAAGGGTTCTTCCTCATGAGCAGCGTGCGCGGTCGCGGCGACGTCGCGCGACGTCCGACTCGACCTACCCCGCGTTTTTACTTAATTTAGTATGTCTCACGATACTTATTATAAAAATCAATGTTACAGTTAAATTCTTGTTACTTTTGACAAATATTAAGTATTTATCTGATATTGAATGCATTGATATTGTATAAATCACTATTTAAATTGCATGCAATTGGCGACTCCGTACCTAAGTTACCCATGCATATAATAACTACGAAAATATTTTCATTATTCAGATAACACACAAAAAATCAAACATGATTTTTTACAAATTGTTATTGAGTATGATAACATTCTAATCTTTGAGCACAGACCTTTACACCCTTATCACCCAAGTCAATAACCCTTCTAACAATGATAACTTAGAAAAAAAAATGTTATAAAATCAAGTTCACTGTGACCTCGACCTTTAGGCGGTGACATCATCATGATAAGCCGTGGCTGTGGCTTCCTGATGACATCACGTCAACAGTTTTTGTGATTGTCCAATATAAAATGCTCCATTTGTGACCACACGAGAGCTGGCGCGAGTCATGTTGGCTAATATTTTTCGCTACACTTTTATATGTCGTATCGTATGTAGTTATGTCGTTTCATTCTGTCTAGGAATCGTATATTTTTATAGTATTGGAACTGCGTATGTGTACTCAATTTTCTTATTACTTTTTTATTTCTTTGGCTGGAAGTTGGAATCGATAACCCCAGTATCTTATTCCAGTATCTTTTAGGAGACAGGGATGACTAGGATTTTATTAAGATGTAGGTCATGATGAGTAACATCTCTATTTTTCAGTTGTATTAATATTTATGTTTGTAAATGATGCATAATGATGGTTTTTTTTTGAAGTACAGGGAAGGTTTTAAGGCTGACAAAAAATTTTTTTAAGTGTGGGAGAGCCATGCTTCGGCACGAATGGGCCGGCTCGACCGGAGTGATACCACGGCCTCACAGAAAACCGACGTGAAGCAACGCTTGCATTGTGTTTCGTCGCGTGAGTGAGGTTACCGGAGGCCCAATTTCCCTCCCCTTCCCCAATCTCCCCAATCCCTGAATCCCCAACAATCCTCAAACTCCTAATCCACAAATAGCCGGTAACGCACTTGTAACGCCTCTGGTGTTCCAGGTGTCCATGGGCGACGCCGATTGCTTTCCATCAGGTGATCCGTCTGCTCGTTTACCGGCTTATGCCATAAAAAAAAAAAAAGTTTGATGTGGTACGTAGTTTGTCGGGTCAGCTAGTCTATCTATAATATAAAAATGAATCGCTAAATGTATTGGTAAGAGCGCAAATCTCGAGAACAGCTGAACCGATTTCCATGATTACTTTTTGTTGAGTTTGTTATTGTTAGGAGAAGATTCTCATGTAAGATAAAATTAACAAACATTCGCAGAATTTCCAAAGCGAAAAAAAAATCGCGAGATCCACTACTTAATGATAAAAATTGCGAAACATTACTGCCGAAATGTGCTTAAAAACCGTGTTTTTAAATTATCACTGCGAACAGACAAGCATATATTTTGATTTTATAACATAGGTCAAAATATAGTAAAATATAAAAAAAAAAATAACCATTTCATAGATTTTAGTTACTACGCTGAACATCCGCGCAGTTCAGAGTAGATAAGCATATATTTATCATAATAAAAAAAACATGTAATATCACGACCGTAAATAGAAATAAACCAATGATATCAGTTTATATATAAATAGATTATGTATAGGTACATGAGTAATATCAGATGCATACTATTACATGTGACCTTTATGTTCTTCCGAGTAAATTAGATCATCAGTTCCGGTGCAAGTGGCGTCATTAGGACTATGATTTAATTTAATACATCAGACATCTGTCAGGATTGATATAAGGGCTAATCTATCTCGATTGATTCGTTTATGGCAGTCTGTAGGACTGTGAAGGCTTGTTGATGAAATCCTAGAAGATCCATCTATAGCTTCTTGCTCGTTTTTCTTCATGAGAATTGATCAGCTCTTACACGAGCACATGGCTTCAGTAAAGGGCCAATTTCAAATCTCTTAATTCCATTTTTATCATGCCTAACGGGCACCTTAGTGCCCCTAAAATTTCCCGAAACTTCCATCGATAAAGTAGGGCTTAAAATACCGACGCAAACAATGTCAGTGTCATAAAACCCACTTGACTTACAGGTTACGGAATGACGTAAGGTTTTTTAGCACAAAACTTATTGTGATTGTCTTTTTTTACGAAAAATACGTTTTCTTAGTACTTACTAAAGTAATTGCTGAAATTACTGTGTAGGTCAGTTCAATGACAATGGCAATGGCGAGCCGTAATTTCGGCCACAAGTATTTAACGTGTCAGATAAATTGGACACAATATCATGTTGCACGATATCAGGAAACGCTCGGTATGAGACCATACTGTAACTAATATGTCCGACAAGCTACGATGTATTTGCGACGCGTCTTTACAATTTCGCTTATTTGTGCCCGGAATAATGGTGGCTGAATATAGCCCCGGCACACCTGCATCATAATTGTGCAACACTTTCACAATCGGAAACACTCTGAACATGTATTTTCTGAGTATACGTGCTCATACCCAAACATTCTCACCACGAAAGCAGTCGTTGCGAAATGTTATTGCAGTAATTCGAGTTAATTTTACAATTGTGCTCAGATTGAACCAACTTTTTTAAGCGAAAATGTCTTTAAAATACTTTCTTCTGTGCTCCTCCTTCGTCATTAATAAGAAGAGTCTAAATTCCATTCATTTAGTTTCGCAATGTATCACTAAATAACAATACATTGTATAT